TAGAATTAAGAGCTATTAGAAAACATAATACCGGTTGATGAACTAGCATCAATAAGTTCTACCATTTTCTCGTGAGTTCACATGGCGGCATGCTTTATTGATTAATCTCAAAGTCAACTGTTATAGTTCAACCGTGTTTGAAAACAAATAGGGGCATTAATATACAATCCTATTCATTGATCAAGCTGCTTGACGTCAGTTAAAAATGATGTTTTTAAATTTCAAGAATGGTGGAGAAATTTATAAGTTTTTTTGAACGGAAGTTGAAAATAAATTAGGTAAAAATATCAAAGCCCTTCCTTCTGAGGTGGCGAATATCTATCACAAGAGTTTTAAGGTCTCCTTATCAAGTAATAGGATATTGTTCCAATTGTGTGCGCTAAGGACTTCACAACATAGTGGTGTCTCGGAGAAGGAAATCAAACACTTTTAGATAGGGTGAGATCATTGATGTGTTAATCCTCATTGTCTATTTACTTTTGAGGTTATACACTATGACCATGTACATCTTGAACCTTGTACCATCTAAGTCAGTTTGCTAGACACGTCTTTAATTGTGAAACGGGTTCCAGCCTAATTTATACAACATTTAGGTATGGGAATGTTCATCACACATGCTTAAGGAAAAAACAAATAAGATGGAGTCAAGATCAAAGGTTTATCTATTTGTAGGACATCTAAGAGAAATGAGAGGTTACTAATTCTATAGTCCTCTAGATAAGAAGTATTTGTTTGTACAAATATTCTTAGAAAAAAGTACATAGAAAATGCATCTATTAATAAGATTCTATTAGAAGAAGTGTTACAACATGGTTCTAACAACTTAATTCTACATTTCGAATAGAATCAAATAGTGAAAACTTGGAATCATCTACATAACCAATGGTTGCTAATGGGTAAATGAACAAGTGGTGCCCATATAACTCCATGGACCAACAAAACTAGAGGTAGTAGAGGATGAGACACTTATTGTTCTACCTCCACTTGACCCTCGGGATAGGAAAAACAAGGAGATGTGTAACCACGTGGCCTCTTGCTCAAGTCGTTATCTCATATCTACTATTCATTTTGAGAAAGTCTAAGTCCATTTTATCCTTCACAACTTTCTATTGCATCCCAAAGTTTCAAATTCAAGATCTCTATCTCAAGAGACTTGATAAGCGTATTTTATACACTTATTTAGGTCGTTAAATTTGATTACTTCTTGATGAATTATATGAAAATGGCTTATATTGTTCGTAGGTAACGACTGATGAAAGAGGCCAGAGTAAGGATAATAAGCGGAAAAAGTGCTCAATTCAAAAAAATACAAAGTTCAGGGACTATAACGCAATAATTCAAACATCGGTGATGATTTGAGAATGTCAAGAGTCAATTGGAATTTAAAAGAAGTCAAGGGGATGAGAAATTTTGGAAAGAGATCAAAATACACATATGAGAAAGTTTAGTGATCAATTTGAAAGATTAGCCCAAAAAATTATGTACCATGCATATGCATGGGCCTACAGGCCTTGCATACACAAGGTCAAAACGAGCACTATATGAGGCAAAATTTTGTGTATTGTGTATACACTCACTTCGAACCATGCGTATGCATGGTTCAATTCTTAGAAAAAAATTTATTTTCTTATTTTGTTTAGGAAACATTTGGTATGCAATCTTTTTACATCTTATATTTACCATAAGCCATTCAAAATGTGGGTAACTTATCTATCATCATATTGAGAGCGCGAAAGTGATTTTACATTGAAGAATCAAGAAATTCATCGTTTGGTTTAAAGATTAAAGGGAAGAATTGGAGCTTTCAAATTCTTCATCATATTCCTTGTCTTAGGTGATGTCTTTTCGTTTTCTTTTATGTAATTTTCATATGGCTATGCAAGGCTAAACAACTTAGGCCCTGTTCTCTTTACCGTTTTCGGGTCGTTTTCTGTTTTCGATTTTTCAAAACGGTGAAAACGCGTTCTCTTTCCCGTTTTCGAAAACGAATTTTCGAAAACGAAAAAAAATTTGTGAAGAAAACACAAAACGACTTTTTTGTCGTTTTGGGCGTTTTCAGTGTAAAACTTGAAAAAATTGAAAACGCGGGAAACGCTTTTTTTTTTTTTTTGAAATTTTGAAAATCACCACCCTATCTCCCCAAAAAAAAAAATTTATTTTTTTTTTTTGAAATTTTGAAAATCACCACCCTATCTCCCCAAAAAAAAAAATTTATTTTTTTTTTTTGAAATTTTGAAAATCACCACCCTATCTCCCCAAAAAAAAAAATTTATTTTTTTTTTTTGAAATTTTGAAAATCACCACCCTATCTCCCCAAAAAAAAAAATTTTTGTTTTTTGTTTTGAGAAACTAACAAAAAGAACGCATTTTCAACAATTTCAAAACAAACACTCAAAACACAAAACTTAAAATGAATTCAAAACTCAAAACACAAAACTGAAACACAAAGAGAACACCCCCTTAATTATTGGATGGATGACAAAACTTATTGATTTGTGGTTTTAATTCAAGACTTATCGTTTTTAGTTGATTTTTGTGTTTGTGGTTTGATATGCATTAAGATTGTTCGTTTGAATGTTTGAGCACCATTTAGACAATTAAGTTGCTTATTTGTAGTATTGAAAAACTCACAATAAGTAAAAGGTTGCATGTTGAATATTAATGCGTGCGTTGTATATGAATTCTAACTAAGAATAGGATCAAATAGTGTTAAGTATAGGTTTGATATATCTTAGAAATGAGTATTAAAAATAAATTGATTATAACAAATATGTTAACCACACTAATTAACATAAGTCGAGAATTAGAACTAGACATCAACTTGTGGAGTCGAAAATCCAATACCTTCATCTCATATTTGATAGAAAATCTCATCTTTACAACTTTCTAAGTTAATTAGAATAATTATAAGAACCAAATCAATTGTTTTATATTAGAACTTGGTAAACGCTAGTATACTAAAGTTGAATGTTATTCCTCGTGGGACAATATTTTCATAGTTCATTACGTATACTTGTGAACAAACTCATAGTTTACGAGATTTTCTCAAACAAAATTTAAGTTGAATTTTGGTACCAATTGAACAAGTTATCCAATTAGTACCAAGATTCAAATTAAGTATCTCATAAGATAGAAGTTTTAAGTTCAAATCCTGAGGAATATGATAGAAAAGTCATAAAAGGTAAGATGTGCTTAGGCTCTCCTAAAGTTGTTGTATGCAGAGATCTTGGGTTTGAACCTTAATGAATACGATAGAAAGTCATGAGTGATATGATGTGATTAGACCTTTTAAAGTGTACAATACGGAAGAAATGACTTGGACATGAGGCCTTAGTCTTTACAAAAAAAAAATGCAAATTTTTTTTAATGACCTAGACCTCGTGTCCAAGTTGACATATTATATGTATTGTTCACTTTGAAAGGGCCTAAACCCATTTTACCTCTCAGACTTTCTGTCTAGTACTTTAGTATTTAAACTCAAGACTTTTACTTTATAAGAGACTTAAACTGAATTTTGGTACTAGTTGGACAAAATTCGAATCCAAGACCTTTACGTTATAAGAGATTTAATTTAAATTTTGGTACCAATTGAGCAAGTTGTCCAATTGATATCAGGATTCACCTTGTATCTCCTATAAAATTAATTTAGATCCTTCCAAAGTAGACAGTATGTAAGTTAACGATTTTAGCACAACAACTCAAGTTGTTACAAGATTTGATAGAAACCTAAGAAAGTTAAATTCAGAATTATAATCCTGACTCAATGCTTTCTTGAATCAAGAACCAAGGTTCAAATGGTTGAACAACACAAAAATTGGAAATCTTTGATAAGTTTGGGATAGTTCATTTTAAGTTTCACCATAAGCTTGCAAGTCACCTTTTTTACCATAGTTTTCGTAAGGACTTTGCTTGGTGTACATAATTTTTTGTACATCAAGGTGTCCCACACTCATTTGGGATGGGGCCCACTCGAATATTTTATTCGAGTGAGCTCCACTCCATGTGAGTGTATGGATACCTTAATGTACAAAAAATTATGTACATGTATGTTGTTCTTTCCTTAATATGAAGAGCATGTTTGAGCTCCATTATTTTGAAAAAACAAAAATAAATAAATAAATAGATTTTAGACTAATGACTTTTTAGAAATTATGTGGTTAAAAGTAGGAAAATATTTTGGATTTACATTTAAAATTATTTTATTAGGGGAATGTGTAGTTGAAAAAAAAAAAAGAGTTTAAAAAGAATGAGATTAAACAGGTCAAACGAAAATTGTCACATCTAGATACAATAACTTTTAATAGTTTTGTCCTTTGTAGCTGTAAAACTAATCCCTTGATATATTGATGAATATGTGATCTTACTTTTGTTCATGATTCTCCATCGTGCCAAAAGAAATGTTTGTCTTGATGAATCCCAACCTTTTTAGATGACTCCCTCACCACTTGGCAAAGTTCAAATTGACGGGAATCCACATGCATATCGTGTTTTTCTTATCAACTTTTGTACTTTTTTTTTTGATTTTTTTTTTTTTTGGGAAATAATTTAAAATCTCATTAACATTAAACTTTATCTACAACTCTACATAGTACATGTCCTATTTTTTTTCTTTAGAATGTGCCTAAATTTTGTAGTATTCAAGTAGATGGATTTGGAGTGAGGCTGGAGCGGGTGGGCCAGAGGGGGCTACAAATCGAACACCATCAATGGCGAAACAAGATTGGTTCCTTTCCCTACAGCGGTGGTCTAACACTACAATCAGATATCCAAAAATAATAATAATAATAATAATAATAATAATAATAATAATAATAAAAATTACAAACAGATTGAGATATAAAGAAGGGCTAATCCATTTTCCTTTTCCACTCTTATAGAATAGACCGCCCACAAATAATACATCAATTCTAAATGCAGAATCAGAAACCCACTTTCTTTTTAATTGAAATCTTGATTGGATTGGATTCTTCTCATCAAAGTTAAAGAGGAAAAATACAAAGTCCTTTTAAAAGCTAGGGAATTTTATTTTTTTTTCCTTTACAAATATGGATGCTAGCTTTGTCATAAAGCATTCACTAATAAAATTTCTCAATTATTTACAACATGCCAAGAAAAATAAAGTAAGGTGAGACAGAATCTATTCATCTGGATGGAAAAATGAGAACTTAAAAATCACAAATGCTATGGATTGTTCAAGGACATGCCCCTGCCTTAATCAAAAATTGAACAGCTTGGTTCATCGTGGGACGGACCGTTGGCGTCCTACATGTACAACGTATGGCTAAGCACCTTGATCATTTCGTCCTCGAATGATTCCGATACTCTTTTATCTAGGACCTCCATAGCTCCTTCCTTTGTCTTCACCTTGCTCGAAATCCAGTTTATGATATTCTTGTTTTCCCCATACTCTGCCTCTACCGGCTTCTTCCCAGTTATTAGTTCCATTAATACAACTCCATAACTATAGACATCACACTTTGTGGTTGCTTTGGAAGAATATGCATACTCTATAAATAAGAACAATTAATTAAAACATGAGATATGAATTTTCTAAATAAATGAATATCAGGGAAATCGTTCGTTACCTGGTGCCAAGTAACCATAAGTTCCTGCTATTACAGTCGTTGTGGAATCCTTGCTTCCTCTTGCTTGCAACACTTTGGCGATTCCGAAATCTGCAACTTTTGGCTGGTAATTGACATCCAACAGGATATTGGTGGACTTGATGTCCCTGTGAATAATTGGTGTTACTAAATCATGGTGGAGGTATTCCAAACCCTGAGCAATTCCGAGGGCAATTTTATGTCGAGCAGGCCAGTTCAAAAGGACTTTCCCTCCATGGATTGCATCCCAAAGATTTCCATTTGGCATGTACTCGTAAACCAGCAGACTGCATTCTACACTGGAGAAGTAGCTATACAACTTCACAATGTTGTTGTGCCTTATGCTTCCAAGAGTCTCGACCTCAGTTTTCAGTTCCTTGTCCACTATGACTTGATCTTCTGATGCAGAATTTTTACCTTTTCGACTCCTCAGCTTCTTTACAGCTAAAACTTCCCCATTTTTCAACTCGATTTTGTACACAGTCCCAGATCCTCCATAACCCAAAATGTTTTTATCAAGCATGCTTTCAATTATCTCGCACTGATCAAAATTTAACCTATGGTAACTTTTAACATCATATGAGAAAATTGAAGTTGATAATGTATCCTCATTTTGTATCGTTGCCCTCTCTTTGCTAAACCATCTCTTCAAAAAGAGGACAATTCCAACAAAAATGATACCCACTGAAATTCCTATCACCCAAATATAATTTATTTTCCTCCGGTCATAAGATTTCGAGCAAAGGGAGAAATTTGGGTCAGATGATTTTAGATAGGAAGGCACACATAGGCTTGGATTGCCTGAAAAACTTCCTAGTAGTCCTCCCTTTATGAATGAGACAGGAATAGGACCAGAAAGCTGATTGTTCGAAAAGTTGAACGAATTAGGTAACAGATAACAAAGGCTTTCTGGGATATTTCCCGTCAAGAGATTGCTAGAGAGATCAAGAACATTGAGGGACTTGAGTGAAGAAAGTGAGTCGGGGATGGAAGAATTTAACTTGTTACCTTGTAATAGCAATGAATCGAGTCTTCTTAAGTTTCCAATCTCAGACGGTATGGAACCAGTCAAAAGATTGTTGCTGAGATCAATCTTGACTAGATTTATACCCAAAGAGATTTCAGAAGGTATAACACCAGAAATCCTGTTGCTCTGCATGAACAACTCTGACAAGTTTTTAGCATTCGAAATGGTTCTAGGAATAGAACCACTCAAGTGATTATATCCCACATCAATGATTGAAGCATGTGGAAGTGCTAGAATCCCTTGCGGTATTTCGCCAACCAAATTGTTGTTACTAACCCGAAATCGAATAAGAGACTCACATTTTGCATAACTTGGGGGCACTTCACCAGAAAACAAATTCTTAAGGACTAGGAGATACAGCAATTTTCCACCGTCACATAACCCTTCCGGTAACTTCCCAGATAGCTGATTTTCAGACAAGTCCAAGCCAATCATGACTGATGACCTTCCAAGATTTTCTGGGATTTCCCCTGTCAACAAATTGTCGTAAAGAGATAACACATTTAAGGTGGTCGAATTCGCCAAAACTGCAGGAATTTCCCCTGTTAGACTATTGTTGTAAAGCTGAAATGCTTCAATCTTGGGAAGTTGGCATAAGGACTCGGGAATTCTGCCCTTCAACTTGTTGACAGATATGTCCAAGTCTCTTAGTTGAGTCAGATTCCCGAGCTCTCGAGGTATTTCACCATCGAGTTGGTTATAGTAAAGCTCAAGCTGTTGCAAGTTGTTCAGCAAACCAAGTTCTGCCGGAATCTTTCCAGTCAGACGATTTCCACTTAATTCAAGATCTATCAGAGACGCCACGTTTCCTATGAAGGGTGGAATTTCGCCACGCAACTTACATGTTGACAATATCATGGACTTTAGTTTTGTGAGCCGGGATATATTCTCCGGCAGTTGCCATAAATCGAAACCACCATTTTCATTAAAATTTAACACTTCCAGATTGGTAAGATTGGTAACAGACAAAGGGAACTTACCAGTGAACGAGTTGTAAGAAAGGTCAAGCAATCTCAAGGATTTTAAAGGAGACAAATCTGGCAATGTTCCAGTGAGATGAGCATATGTAATGTTCAGCTCCTCCAAGAGAGAGCAGTTGAGGATATCTCGACTAAACTCCCCATGGAGCAAGTTGTGGCCAACACGAAGAACTCGCAGTTTCGGTAAATATGAGCATACATGGGTAGGAAACTTACCAGAAACTGACCACCCAGAGATATCAATTTGCACAATGTTTTCGTCATCATCACAAGAAATCCCAGTATAATTGCAAACAGGGATTTCGTCGCTGGCTGAGAGTGATTTCTTCATGAGAGTTAAGAACTGCGACTGCATCATTGCTTTTGCTTGGCAAGAATTGTACGCACAAAGTGTCATCACAAGAAAGAAAAATACGCCCCTGGAAGCCATTAAGGATCAAGATTTCTATATATTTCGAAATAGAGAGAGTAAGCAAGTTATTTCGCGGGTGAAGAAGAGAGATATATAATTGGCAGAATAGTTGTGCAGAGTGAAACTGAGAGTTTCATATCTTTGCATAAAGAAGCTTTGTGTTTATGCCCGAACCCACCCTCTCAAGGAATAACACCAACCACCTCGTGGGTAAATTTCACTTGCACTCGCGTAACTTTCAGCGGAATATCAATTTCGTAACTAAACTTTAATTTGTCCCAAAAATCCAATTTTGTTTCAAATAAGATTACTCAACTTCAGTTTAGTTTCAAAGTTTACCATTCTTTCACATGTTGCTTCTCAAATTGATGAATCACATGTTTCTTTCTCAAATTGATGAAATTTGCTTGATTGATAGTCATACCGCAACATATTATGGTGGCAAGGCATGCCTATTTATTACTCCACATTATTAAAATATTAAAATGAAACCTTTTTAACATTTTAATCTAAAGACATTGCAATAACCCTTGTTGTATCATTTTTTAGGGTGACTTGTAACAATTAAGTGGAAGATCAACTATGATATAATTGTCAAATAAGCAATTTCTATCAGTTCAAGGAAAAGGTGACGAAATATGAAAGAGCAGTAAAATTTGAAACTAAATTGATGTATAATACCTAATCGAAACAAATTCATGTTTAATGAACCCCAAATGAAATTTCACTAAACAAGCGATTACATAGAATGTCAGCTAGTTGTATCGCTGAAAAAAATTTATAGACCATCAAACTTTAGAAGTTGGAAAAATAAATTTAAAAAAAAAATAAAAAAATCAATGGAATTTCGTTAAGGGTCCATTTGATTGCAAAAATAGAATTTGGGTGGAAAGAAAACGAATTCTATGGAATTAAATTACTTAGAAATTGTTTTCCTGAGAATTGTAAATTATTGTGTTTGCTTGGTATAATTTTTCACGTGGAAAATGTTGAAATAAAAGTATTTTTTGATCTTCGTTTGATTTTGTTTTACATGAAAATTGTCAAATAAAGGGATTGAATTTACTAGTATTGGGGATGAAATTTATTTTCATTGAAAAAAAAATTCAAGAAAATCATCTATCTTTTCATATTCGTTTGACTTTGTTTTACATAAAAATTGTCAATTAAAGAGAAATATTTTTTTACAATAATTCTTAAAATTTATTTTCATTGTCCCAAAAAAAAAAAAGTCAACAGTAACCGGGAAATCCACAAAAGCAAGAAAAATGCAATTCCCAAGAAGTCCAAAAATTTCTATTCCATGGAAAATAAATCACAATCAAACACACCAAAGTTGGAAAATGTCATCTGTTACTCCCCTATCTGAACCACCTATCCATGCACTTCGATCTTCTAGACACTCACTCGAAGTAGTTTCGAAGTGATCTCCCCAATGTCAACGACCTGCTATCACACTGCGAGATATAAGCGATCCTGCTGAACTGACCGAAGTGCCCTCGCTCATAAGGCCGAGGCGAAGTGTACTCCGGGGACCTTTGTCGGAAAATTCGCTGCCAATTTCAGAAGGAGATTTTTGCCAAGATCCTTTCTGTCCCTAAGGTTTAAATTAATTTGACATCTTCATGAGGCTAATTGATGTGACTTATCAACTTTATGTCAACTCAATTCTGGAGAAATAATTATCCGCCCACTCTACAGAGAAGTAATTATCCGTCCACTCTACAGACACGGCTGATTGACGCCTATGAGCAGACATCTCATACCGTCAGATGTATATACGTACCCCCACATCCAACGGTTCATCCCAACTATAAATACCCGAGGGTTGGCAAGAGGCAAAGGTAATGAAACTCTTACTAAATAGCACTCCATAGCAAGCATAGTTAGAAGATCCGCCGTCAATTTCAGAAAGAGATTTGTGCCAAGATCCTTCCTGCACCTAAGGTTTAAATTGATTTGACATCTCCATGAGACTAGTTGATGTGACTTATCAACTTTATGTCAATTTAACTCAGAAAAAACAAGCTGTTCGCCCACTCTACAGACGCGATTGATTGACGCCTATAAGCAGACGCCTCATACCGTCAGGTGTATACACGTGTCCCACATCCAACGGTTCATCCAACCTATAAATACCCAAAGGTTGGCAAGAGGCAAAGGTAATGAAACTCTTACTACATAGCACTCCATAGCAAGCACACACACACACACACATATATATATATATATATATATATATTCTCCTCCCCCTTATTATTTTGCACAATCCCTGCGTACTGTTCCGATCACCTTAACCTGATTTGATCGTCGGAGTGTATACGGCCGCCACCACCCCCGCTGGTCCCGACTGTCCGCATTTGACCGTGCATTGATTGTGCGCGGGGAAGAATACGTGGAGTAGTTCTCGATTGGCCATGTGGAAGGTTCAATTTTCGAGGTCAATACCATTCAAATTTCATTTTCCATGGAAATAAATTGTCAATCAAACGGTGCCTAAGTGATCAACTAAATTGTAGGGTGTATTCCCATAAAAAACAGTTGAATTTTGCTCTTACCATCAAGCAAAAATTCACTTAGGCTGAAAAGGTTACAATTGAGAGCGTGATTTTTGATAGCAAAAGGATGTGTGCAAATACGTGGTGCACACAGACCAATGCGACAAAAGACAAGTCAGCGGCTACTAAATATAAGAGAAGCGAGTCGAAAAGAAAATCGAAGCGAGTCGTTTGGTCAAGCAACGACTTTTGAGAATATGATTTCATTTGTTAGAAAAATTTGATAAGAAGGCCCAGTGCCCAAAGAGATGCCTTTAACAAGGCAAGATGCGATCACTAAATCAAGCCCAAACTCATCTACCATATATGTTGGTCCAATAAACTTCTAAATCAAGATAGAGTTACAATAGAGTATAATTTAAATTATATTTATTTAGATTTGTTTTAATATTGTGATAAGGTTTATAATTTATTAGAAGTTCGATTGATTTAGCTTTTTTCAATTTCTTTTCTTTATATATAGAGGACTTATTCAATGTAATAGACACGATTGATTATATAGAATAAATTAAATTTTTTCTGCATCAATTTCGTTATTTGAGTAAGTTCTTTCCTTTTGTCAAACAATCTCATTTTAAAATCTAGCCTCCTTTTGGACCCCCTTTTTTCAAATTAAAATTGGTGAAATAATAATTTTTTTGGTCAATAAGTGGTTGAAAAAGAATGAAAATTTCTCGATTTATGTATAATATTATTTTATGGAAGATTGTGTGATTGAAAAAAATAAGAAAAAAATGAAATTTAATTTAATGGGGGTCAAACGAGGGCATAATCTCTTTGACTCTTTACCATCAACTAGCCACTGCTGTTCAAAGTCTCACATACTCCCAAAACATCCACAAAATCAAACGATCAGAAAAATCAGCCAGCAATCAAGGGTGCAATTTTTCCTCTTTTAAGTTAGTTAAAAAAAGGTTCGGGAAAAAAAGGCAGTAAAAAACGCAGCTTATTTTCTGGGTTCATAGTTGTTATTAGTTTTGCGTCATGAAAAAAAAAATAGAAAGAGAGTCAAAATACTTCGTTATAGTGTTCGAAAAATTACATGGCTTACAGGTCTTAAAGAAATACAATTCATAAATCAGGTATGAAATTTATTTGTGCAAATATCAAGTATTAATCTAATTATAAAACAACCCATCCCCAACCGTCCTACCCCCCAAACCCTAATTATTTCCTCTCACCATTCTCTCTCTACATCCCTCTACATCTCTCTTCACCGTTGGAGACGAAGTCGTGTCGACAGCGACGATCGCCTATGTTCCTTCGGCACATCTATACATTGTTGGCGGTGTTGCAACGCTCCGTGAAGAAGCCGTACGTCCCACATCTCTTTCTTCACTCTCCTCTTCATTCTCCATGCTCTGCAAATTCATCTTTTCTTCGACGGGTGCGTGGTTGGTGGCGCTGCAATGTTCCGTGAGCGACGATACCGTCGTCTTGGCCAAGGATAGTGTCGTTGCTTCTGGATATGACACTTTTGTTGTTTTTGCCTATGTTGCTGATGTGGGGTGTTGGTGAGGTTTGTAGGGTGGTGTAATTTTGGGCGTAATTGGTGGTAATTTCTGGATATAGTTATGCTCCTGGTGGCTCTGATGGTGATGAGGTGGTGGTTTGACTGTAGAGGTGGCAACAGGGGCGGATCTAAGTTCCACGTTCAGCTAGGGCGGATGACTTTGACTTTGACTTTGACTATTGATTGTTGACCGTCGATAATCAACGATCATATTAAAATTTGATTAAATAATACAGTAAGCTAAGGTTGGAAGAGTTTTCAATCCGGTTAGATCTTCCAAGCACTTTAAAGATCCACCCGATTTTTCATGTAAGCATGTTGAAGCCATACAGGCTGGACTTGGAGGATCCGGGGAGAAACAAATCAAAAAGAGCACCTCCCATTGTCACAAAATCTTTTGAGAAAGATGTGTCAAAAAATTTGATCGTTTATTCAATCATCATAATAAAATTTGATCACATTCTATTATCTTTCAATGATATCGCGTCATTTGTTGTCCGTAAGATTTTTCAGTCAAAAAATTATGTTTCACACTCAAACCCAGCAGTCCAGTTGGTGGTTCTTGGACGTGGAAAGATCATCAGAAGGCACCAAAATTTTCAATTTTCGTGTGATCATCGGAAATGTGCAAGTACATAAGACTGACGATGATAACAGCCCAATATATTTAACCATTAAACCCAGATTACTCCAATTAAGTAGGCAAACTCTCCACTAAACACAAATATGAATTCATGATTTGACTTTCAAGAATAATAACAAGGATTAATTATGGGAGCTGAAAAGAAAATCAAGGACTGAGGTGGTTAAGTTTCAATAAATAATCATAAAAAAAATCGGAAAAACATACATACATATGGACAACTGCTAAGATTACTTTCTTACGTCACAGATATTTGAAAAATGCTTACATCCACAATCCATGGACCGTCCGTTTGAATGGATCCAATTTCCATATTTGGGCCTTTTTTTTAAATAGGCCCAATTTCAGTTAGATTAGCCCAAAGAAAAAATGGAAAAAGGGATCGTCTTCTTCTGGCTGAAACTGAGTTCCTCTTGGCTGCTTCTGCAATTGCTGCGCGCAGGCGCATCGGCTGCCAACCCGACAGCTACTGAACTGA